GCTGGGTTTCCTCTCTCCCCCCTAGGCTCATATCCAAACCCCTCTCAAACATAAACTGTGTACCTTTCTATAAGCTCAGTTTAACATTGGTGACCTTTAATTCTCCACAAGTGGCTTCCAATGATCACCCTGGCATTATTCCTATTGGATTTTTCAATTCCCTTGGCTGTCCTATTAACCATTAACTGATGGCAAAAGAAGCAGTTTCTGGTTTGTGCTTTAAAAGCATTAAACAGTTTGCGATACAGATGACAACTCAGGAAAAAAGGAGGATAAAATGCACACCTCTGGGTCTAAAGACCAAGCAGGCAAGCAAGGCAGTAAAATGAAAGGATTTACTCACAGGATGCTTGTCTGGGGTGGGATATCGGGGATGGTTTCCAACATCAGATGCATGCATCTCACTGTGGTCCTGAAGCAGAGGCAGCGACTAGGACAGGAGCAGGAGAACCTGGGCAGGAGGAGAAGGCACAGAAAGCCTGGCAGAGCAGCAGGTCTGAGCAGCATGGTGTGTGCTGGAGAGTATTTGCCTCAATTCTGAGCTGCAGGGAGCTGATAAAAGAAGTTTCCCAGCCCGAGGTCCAGGAGGAGGGGACTCATCAGCATGTGTTTGCAATTAAAGCAAGGCAGTTTGACAGACCAACCGCCCACCCTCTCTGTGCCATGATGTACAGCACCGGAGATCAGGCTGATCCCACCCCTCTGGAATTGAGGCGCTGAAATACAAACTCTAGGCTTTGATTTATTCTGACCTCCTTCCTTATTTCTAACTCCTCACTATCTCCTCAGGCATACTGGAATGCACCTTCATGGACAAGTGACACCCTGCTTCCAGCGCTGGGCTAGGACATGGATGGGTCAAGGTATTTTATGCACACTGCAAACTAAGGGTAGCATCTTACCTAACAGCCTGTCAAACACACAGGGTAGGGAGAGCTTTAGGATAGAGGCTGTCTCTTATTACATGTGGTTGTAGCATCTGGCAAAAATAGGTTTCCAGCCATTGATGGGATGTGGAATGCTACAGAAGTGATTTTAAAAGGGATAAATAACCTGCGAATAAAGACAAACCTCTCACTGATCTTACACATTGCATAAAGCTTCTCATGCAGAGTAAAGCCTGATTCATTTCAAACACCTTTTGGCTGGTAGAATTTCTTCCTACCAGGAGGTCATTTGGAAAAACATCAGGATTTTGGAGAAGTTAAAGGCAATTGAGGGGTGAAGGGGGGGAAATAATGAAATCAACTGAGTTTGAATTCTAGGAAATGCAGACCTCAGTCTGTTCCTCCCATGGGGTTATAAAATCGAGACACGAAAGGGAGCACTTATTTCCAGGTACATTAATCACATTCTGCTGGTATAAAGAAGCTCAGAGGGAAACCAGCTTGTGTTAGGTTTGAAGTTATCACTACACAAGATCCTCAACGTGTGGGTTTAGGAGTGAGGCATTAGTGCTCACTAGGATATAAAGGCACCTGAGGAATCCCAAACATGGAACCATTCCACGTTACCTGGAAGACTAAATCAAAGCATCCCATCAACCCCACATACTGTAAACCATAACATGACAAAACAGCAAGAACGGCATTTAAACTTCCCCAGCTCCCCCTTCAGATTGTCATTTCAGCGTTCGGGAAGCACTGAGTTTTAGGGTTTCAATTACAGATTTCATAGCATTAGATGATAAAACAACTCCATTTCCCCCACGCTATAAAAGCGCTTTGCACTGCTGGCTTCCTGCATCTCACCCTCAGGCAAACCGCCGCGGTTTTGTCGCGACATCGATTTGAAATCGCAGCAAACTCCTCCCCTAAGGACCCAACTCAAGGTTTGGGGCAGAGAGTCCTCTAGTGGCCATCGCAACCCTCCCACAAACACAGGCTGTGTAAGGCTGAATTAACGCTTCAGCCTTCACCTGACGACTGCCGGCTGAGAGCACATTGCCCCCAGTGACTGACACCTTTTCACTCCAGCTTGAGAAGCGAAGTGCATCAGAAGCGCATCCTTCGTGTTCATCACGGAAGACAACGTGGATTATGGCGAAGTCTTCCAGACTTTAGCCCCATCTTCCTGGTTGCTCCTCAGGTCGCTCACCTCTTCCCCAGCCACATGGAACTCTTCGGATGGGGCAACACAGCTACTTAGGAGCTGCTTTGTAAAGAAGTATTCATAGGAAAAGAAACAAAACCGCTCTCTTCAAGCCATGTTCCAACGTTTAGGAAGGTCATCAACACCTTCCCCAGTACATCTGGCTACCTCACAAACACAAGGCTTTTGCCTTCTGCCTCCAATTACATCCCTGTGCGTAAACTCCAAGCTCTAAACCATCTGCAGAGTAATAATCCCTCCCAGGTTTATTTATGCTGCTAGCAGGAGAGCTGGGCTAGGCAGCAGGCACCGTTCTATACGTACTGTCTTTGGAATCTCTCTCCAGTGCCTGGAAGGATTGATGGGTATCTGTTGACTGCATTGGAGCTCTGCTAAATGGAAGCAGATTCAACAGTGGCCACACAGGGAATAGCTCGAGTGCAAAAAGGCAAGTTCTGCAACCGACACACTGACTCAGCAGCAGATCTTCACGTGAACTTGAACCACGTCTCCTACCTGCTCTCCCCACATGATGAATGGGATGCTTGTGAGATGTTACAGCACACGGCAACCACTGCACCCTTCCCCTCACATTCATTTATCTTATTTTCCATCAACATGAACTGTTTAGAAAGGGGTGTGCAGCTCTGAGCAGGAACCAGCAGTTAACTCCTAAGCAATAGGAATGAAAGCTCACGCTTGTGTTGTTAAAGAGCTCCAGCCTCTGCTAGACCGACCCTTTCACACCCAGAGAATGCAAGGAGACTTTGGGGTTGTTCTTCAGGTGTGGGGATTTTCCCTCCCCAACCCCTCTTTGTTTTACCTTTAAATTCCCCTTCACTGGAGCAGGTCCCCTGAGGAGCTCATCACTACTTCCCAGGGAATTAACCTTCCATATTTTACCATGGAGTGAACATAAACCTTATCTGACCGATTTAACTTACTTGAGACCCTTTGCATGACACATCCATCGCTTCCCAAAGCAGAAGAGTTTTCTTATCCAGCAGCACGTCAAGGAAAACATTAACACAGAACTACCCCATCTTATGCTTGGTAAGAGGACATCATACACACAGGTGAGAGCAGAGAACACATCCTACAGGCAGTTATCTTGTGCAATAGAGGTGGTCAGATACAAGTACCACTGCTGCCAATTAAATGTATCATGATCAGTTTGCTATTACAGCTGAAGCATTATTCTCAATGCTAGTGAAATGGAAGCTTTGAACACTAAATCTGCATTAACTAAGCACTGAAACAGAGCACAGGAGACAAGTTTAATGCATTCTGCATTGATACAGAATGCATTAAACTCCTGACACGTTCAACAGTTCCTTGAGGGACAGAAATGGACTAAGTGAGCTCTTGGTATCTGCTGTCCCCAGGTCTAACAGCCAGGTAAGTGAACTCACTCTTTAACCATCTTGATATGTAAAGTCTGGATCAGTTCTACGTGGCTAATCCCAAAACACATCTTGCACAACTCCATTACATGAAGGTTTATGGGCAGGTTTCTTTTGAGAGATTATATTCTGAGGAGTTCATCTAAAACTATGCGCCTGCATCATGTTATTAAGTGCTTTCTCTAGCATCTTAGCCTTCACTTAAGGAAATAAGCACCTATGTACAAAGTATTCCAATCACAACATGATGCAAATCCATGTTAAGAAGGCTAAAAAGTCTTTACTGCATTTATTGATACAGAAACACCTGGGAATAAAGGTTCAATTGCGTAACACTTCTGCATGCCTCAGGCCAATTCATCTCTAGTTTCTACACAGAGATTCTTCCCCTAATGATGAAAGCAGCTTGAAGTTCATTTCTCTTTGCAGATTTGCTGCTCTACTGAAACCTAAAGAGTCAAATACAATTCAAGTGAAGACAACTTGGAACACAAAGGGAAACAGAGCAGGTAAAGTTCCCAGACAGCTTACGGACTATACAAGAACAGTTATGCTGCAGTTACTCTATGGATGCATACAAAACTACAGTGCAAGTGCTTGTGCACAGGGAAGATGTATTTACAGGTCCCCTTTATTTACAGGCTATAAGCAAATGCTATTTCACAATTATATTACACAAAATCTCTATCGTGTTTGTTTGGATTTGCGTGGTTTTGGACAAGGGGTCAATTTGACAAGCTAGAACATAGAATTATTGCATATATATTTATCCAACCTTATGCAGGAAAAATAGCAGTATTTTATGTATCTTCTAGAATGCTACAAAAATCTAGCAAATGTAATAAAAAAAGGCAAATCTGGTGATAAAAACTCAAAAGTATCTCTTAGAATTAAGGGATAAAAACCAAACAAGGATAAACGAAAGGGAATTCTCCCCCAACTGGCCAGCTTCAGCAACCACCTCAGCATGGCTCATCAATACAAACCTGGAGTTTAATGTCATTTTCAAAGCACCTTCTTCCAAAGTGTTGTAATTAAACTGAAGGACAACCCTCTACTTTGTAGGGGTATGGAAACTGTGCCGCAATACACAAAGGCACATACCTGGTATGATAGCCGTTCAGCAGAAACGACTAACAAAGGCCAGAGCCTTTGGGGAAGCACAGAGATGTATCACACATGGATCATATTAAACCTCTATTTACCACCATAGTCAGGATTTTCATCTGGAGAAAGAAATCCATTGCAGTTGCCAGAATTACAAGGTGCCTGCTTGCATGTTTACAGGAAACCATCAACTCAGCGGCCACAGAACTGCCCCAGAAAGAAGTTAATATCCGAGGGAGCACAATAGCTTGGGTACCATTTGAACCAGGAGAGACTTAGAAAACCAGAGGCAAACCAAAGCCTATGTGTTATGTGCCAGCAGCCACAAAACGCCACATTAGCAGATGATGTTCTCAAGCACACACAAAAAGCCTATTAATCAAGGAAGAGTTCTCCACCTTAGACATACAAGTTATTCCTTTATTTCCAAAGCCACACGGGAACACTGTTTATCATTAAGCAAGTTGTGCAACTCAGTACCATGAACCGAAAACCCAGCGTGTTTTTGGGAAGACAGTTTTAATTCATTCCCCCTCCGAAAATGAGGAGACAGCATAAAACCAATAAAAGATATCCAAGTGATACCAACTTAAGTGCTTCTGATGGGGCAACACCTTAACATAGCTTCATTACCTACTAAGAGCAGGTTTTCACAACTTCCCCCAGGTTTTGGAGTACTTCACATCACTACAAGCCCAAGGGTTTTCTCTCTAGCCCTTAGTAGTTTAGGTAGATTGTTTTCAAGACAGGCTGAACCAAGTAAAACTTCCCCTTGTAAACATGAATACTTCTTCCACCACCATCCCAGGAAGACTTAGTAATAAAAATGAGAGTTCACATCCACAGAATTGCATAGCGTAAAATCCTCCTATACAAGCCTGTTGAAGCATCTACTTAACAGTTGCAGGAATAAAATAACCTACCAAGTCAATCAGCTCCATTCCACCTGCAGTACACGGACCGTGTGTGCTCAAGTTGTGCTCAGGCCACCTTGCTACAGCAAAGCCACACACATGAACACCCAAGAACCGCATCAGTTTGGCTTTCTAGACCGTTTTCAGGTTCCTCAAACAACTACATTCGGCTGATGCACCAGGATGCAAACGACTCTGCTCAGGGTGGCACTCTGCACTTCACTGCTCAGCTCAGCAGACAGAAATTATCATCTCACACAACAGCAAAATCCACTGATGCTGATTTGACAGTCGGTTCTCACAAAGCCACTGCTCTGCATCACCCCTCTACCCTCTTCCCTATTCAGGATTACTCTGCAAACACTCCCAGAGACAACAGTCACAACCCTGCCTACCCCAGCATCCTGTCACAGCCAACCAGCTTTGCAATTCTTCACTTGCCTCCACTGCTATGAGAAAAGCCAGATAAAACCCAACAACTTTGCATCCCAGACTAATTCACCGGAACAAGAGTCTCCCATTGATAAAATCAGTATTCTGTAAAACATTTCTACCTTTTACTGAAAAACCAAGTATTGTTTCTAAGCAAAACTGAGACCAACCAAAGGGGAGCCAATGCCTTCTTTCTCATTCAAAACCTGGATGCCCCAAGGGTAATGCCAAGAATTCTGTTGTGCTTTTTCAGATTACTGGAAGAACTAAGATTTGCCAGGTCAGTTTTTACTAATAATCCTCCTTCTCCATTAAACATACACCATGGAAAACACATGGCAGGTTTAGTGGGAGAGAGCACAGACAGCAAAGGTCTTTGGGGAACTGCTAAGAATATTAAAAGCTGCAATTCAGTAGAGCAGCCATGAGATTGAGAGTATCTCCGTGCAGTTAGTTCCAGGGACTTAAATCCTGCTTTCCATAAGCAGTTGAGCATTTCACCAACTTGCTGCCTCAGTAATCCCTGCTGTAGGATAAAACTATAGCACACAACTGAGAAGAAAGAAGAAACTCAAGTAAAAGCTATAATGTTTAAGTATACAGCAGCTGCATCCCCCAGCTAGCCTACTGCCTTGGGTGGTCGTATTAGCAGGCAAGCCAAGTGGTATACATTTGTCAAGCCCTAAGTAGTACTTTATTTTCTGCCTACTTCCAGCTTTCTAGAAGGAGGAAATTACTTCTCCCTATAATAAAGCAGGTAATACTTCAAGGGATCAGGCAAAGGCAGACTCAAGACCTTTTCCCTCAGAAAGTTTACAGGGGGATCTGGCTTTAGTTCAGAGGGTTTAGTTTCTTCCTCTTCTTGCGTGTCATCCTCGATATCCTCACTGTTGTTGTTATCATCTGATGGGTTGGAGATCCGACTAGCAAAGACCTCTTTGTCCAAGAAAACAATGGTTTCCATGCGCCGGCGCCGCACACGTCTTCGTTTGAACTTTGAGGGGCTCTTGAGCCCGTTGCCACTCTTGCCCATTGTTTCTTGATGTATGAGTTTCTTGATGGTTCCTCTGATGGCAATGCGAGCCAGGTCCTGCAGGCTGCGAACAGCCACCGGGGCTGCAACAAAAGGAAAGCCATGAGCAGATATGGAGACAATCCCCTTCCAAAATACTCGCAGGAAAAAGTTGTATTTGTTCAAGCTAAATCAGGCCACTTGAATTCCCTGCTGTGATTACAGAACCAGCTCTATTCAATCCCTGTCAACTCAGATCAACTGGATTGTAACTTCCCAACCAAAATTTAATCATGCATTTCTCTCATTAACCAAAGAAAAAGAATGGGATGAAAGAAGTTTGCTATTTTCACGTCAAGTCCCCACAATTATTTTTAAGATATAACATCTTATAGGTTATAAGCATGCCGACTTAGTGAGTGAAACTGTGACTGTTGAATAAAGGTATTTTCCTCCTGTATGTAACTAGAACTAAAGTCTATTTAACTCCTCCATAAAATCATTTTTCCATTGTGAAGTTCCTTCAGCTTTGCCAAGTTCCTCACTTATAAAACATGAGTGTTATTTATGCTCTTCAAAAGCTGCTTTGGCCTTAGTGGTGAAAACAGGCTGGAAACCATTTGGTAAAAGTAATTACAGAAGCACACAATAAGTTATTGTATTAAAATACCTCCCACATTAATGGGTTGGAAGACTGTTCTGTCCTCTGCACTTACTTGCTGCCAGCCCATAAATGCACAACACAATTCATGCAGCATAAAGAACAAAATTTATTGATACACAGATCCATGTACTGAAATGAATTAAAACTGAAATAGAACCCCCTGTTCTTCTACTGACAAGTCCTGTGACCTGAATGAAGGAACTAGGGAAAAAGTTACACGTAATATATATACACGTCTCACTACAAAGCCACCACATGCTGAAATGTGCTTGATGGACTTCATAGCACTGTACATAGTGTTATTGAGCTGCTTTTTGTCATGCAGACACCTTTCCAGAATAAGAACAAAGCCCAACTAATCTCCTCATGGAAGTATCTCTGTCTTCATATGCTCTTAAGAGGCCTCTCTACACTCAAGGATTAATCTAAAGATTGAGGCCACTGTGTACAATGTGTGTTTCAAAGAGCCAACCAAAAATTGCACAACTTTATCCCTCAAGCATTCCAGGCTCAGGATAATTCTGAACTGCTGGGTGGTGAGAGCCTTTGAGTAGATAGGTTTGGTCACAGGTACTGCTGGTGTATTTGCCATCACTATGGCACCATGCCTGGGAACCATAACAGTACGTAATTCAGGCTGTCTGCATGAGCAAAAACAAATTACCAAACATCCCACAAAGTTCAGGTGTATTTTCACAAGAAATAATTGGTATTTGCAATCTATTTTATGCAATTCTGATCCTTGCACCAGGCCTCACGGATACCCTCAAAGATGAACTGGGATGAAACACAAGACTTAAGCAACTGTTCAAAGAAGGAAGCAGTTGGAGTAATTTGCCTTGGAAGGATTCACAGAGATGTTACATCTAAGGTGCAGCTTATAGCCAAACAACAGGAGAATCCTCCCCCATACCCAAGAATGTGTGTACTCACGCAAGTGAACAAGCCTTGATTTTCCTGAATCTGCGTGGTTAGGCTGAATCAAAGGAGCAAAAGAAACAGCAAGAATCTTCTTGGTTTCCCAGGCAGAAGGACCAGTGCGAGTTATCTTTGTCAACTAAACCAAAACAAAGAGATTACTGTCCATTGTGTGAACTGCAGCAAGATTTCTGAACAAAACCAATATGAACAAACGACTTAGAACTCCTTAAAGGATTAGCCCCAAGCGATTTCATCCGTTGCAATGAGCATGGGCAGTTTGCGTCACCCTGCTCTCCCAGATCATCCTCAATTCTGAACTAGAACTGCTACACCTGACCACTTAGAAAGTGTCAGTCACTGAAACATCCGCTCTTGAAGGGAGTCTGTAGATCACTGGGTTTCTGTTCCAGTTCAAATCTCTTACACTAACTCACTGTACAGTATCTTACTGGGAAAAAAAACTCTGCTCATCAAAACTATCCTGACAGAGGCAGAAGGTTTGATACCTACACCTCAGCCACTCACGTCCATTAGAATACACCTTTACACTGAACAGATAATCTGAATTACCATCCTGAGCTCACACACAGGGCAGTTACCCACCTTTCACTAAAAGAAATCCATTGACACTAGTAAATGGGGACAACTTGGTCCTTCATAGCCAGTCAAGGTGTAGTATTTTGTATTTGCCATTAAGTACAACACTAGTTTATATGACTCAAGCAAAGACTTGCAAACATTTTTCTGCAGCATGAAAGTAAGCTTGCAATTAACAATAGATTGGAATATGTGGGAGACCTGTAGAACTATGAGTTTCTTGGGTATTATGAAATGTGCACAGTTCAGTTTCCACTCATGGTGAAAAGTGGTGCCCTTAATGTTTCTTCAACCTGCCCCAAGAAGGGCAAACTGAAGGAACAGCTACTGACTGAAGAGAGATCAATAAGAATTGAAAGAGAAACACAAGTAGAAGAGCACTCAACCTTCTCTTCTAGAGGCATGACAAGAATTCCCCCGACTTTCAACAGGTTCTTCATGTAGTCTTCATGTTCCTTCTGTACTCCGGCCCCACAGTAAACACGGTCATACTGAGTGCAGTCTGGAGAGATCTCCAAGCAATTGCCAATTACAAAAGATGGCTCACAAAATTCAAACCTGAAAAGGAAATAAAGATGTGCAGCACACAAGAGCATCACAAGTCAGCAATGAAACCCCCAGTTTCACAGCATTTCTCCTCTGAAGCCCATATACTCTAGACCACAGGGACAAGACTCAAAACCACAGAACAATGAAGTAAAAATACCTAGATGGAACCCTTCAAAGGATAATGATGTACGATTTCATACTTGACTTGCATGTAGCTTCAGAAGGGCTGTTTTCAGTCACCCAATGCTGACTCAGTTATAACATGCAAATACAAATACAAGACCTGCAGTTCCAAGTGTTCAAGCCTTTTAAGCATCGCACCAGGGTGGGTTTGGCATTTTCAAAAGCTTTGAAACGGCTTTCAGATGTTGTGGGGAGCTAGCAGCTGATGCTTCTGAAAGTTGCTTTGCTGAAGCCAATGGAAGTTCTGCCATTAGCTTCAAAAACCGTGATTTCACCCTTCATAAGAAGAATTTCTGCCTATAGCATTTCTGATGCAGTTTAGTAGAAAAATGAATGATTCTATGATGCTTCTGGTTTTTTTTACATGCTCCAAAACTACAAAAGGTTTAAGCCCTACATTTAAGGGCTGATTTTATAAAAGTTGAAGAACAGATCCATTCTTCTCTTGCTATCTTGAGAGGCAGCTCAATATAGCACCTGTCTATTCCTAAACACTTGCTGAAGCTTTCTGCTTTTCCAAAGCGTGCCACACATTCAGAGCAGGCAGCTAACAGTGCCTGCACACGGTGTTCTAACAGCATCACCCAGCAGACACTGCTCTCAGCAATGCCAATTTTTCTAATCATGTTGATTCCCGAATTCAGCTCACTTTTGTTCCATAGCTGTATCTGTCTGGAGGGAGGAAAAATAAGTATTCCTTAACACACCTATTCAAACGGCAGTAATGTGACTGAAAAAACCCATGTGCAAGCACCATCCATGCTGAAAACTGTGCCTGCTGCCAACATCAAGAAAATACAGCTCTCTCATCACCAGCTTTCCAGTCCAGCAGTAACAGCACAAGGCTGAGTAGTTTAAACTCCAGCATGTAATGACTTTCATTCTCTTCCTCCTAGGAGAGGAGGGCTATCAGGTACCCAGAGATGCTTTACTTCCCTGTCTGAACCAACTGTGAGAACGATTCCAAAATATGACAGGTACAACTTTTATTGCCGAGGTTACTATTGGCAATGGTTATCTTGCTGGAGAGGTATTATTTGACAGCAGCAAAACTGAGATTCTAAGGAGGAACATAAATCAACTTCCAGGCACTTTTAGAACCACTAAAACTACCATCATATTTTAAAGCATCATTTTTCTCCTCAGATAAAACCTATTAGGCCATCACAGAAATCAGTTCATATTTCTCTGACGCATGCTCTCAGATCACAAACATAACTATTACTGTTATCTGCAAGTTTCAAGTCACACCTGTAAAAGTATTACTTTAAAGCAACCTTCATTGGCTCCCTCTAAGCTCTGCAACAGCAGCACTGCAAAAAGTCCTAACACTCCCCCCCCAACACACATCAGCTTCGAAGGTCACACACTGCAGCTCAGCTAGCCTAAGGAGCCAGAATCCTCAGATTACTCTCATGCAGAGCTGCCACACAGGAGCAAGAACTGCCATGACTAAAGCCAAACACACAGAATGAATCCAAACAGGCATTCCACATTCTTACTTGTCAAAGCTGTCACTTGTTTTAATGAAGAAGTCCAATTTCTGCTTGGCATATTCGATCACGTCGGAATGAAGCTCCACACCGTGGTTAACACCAAAAGGACCTGTAAGTTTAAAACACCAGGACAATGTAACAGGCAACAATAGCAGGATTAAATAGAGTCTTGGTTACTTCCTACAACAGATTGCTCCTCGAGGGTCAGCCAGTGCTCATGTAAGGTCAGCTACCTTAGCACTACAGTGGGAATTGCAACCCTATACCTGCACTTTCTGGCAGCAAATGAGGCTGCTTTGCACAACTGATTTTTGAATCATTTGCTCTTAACTCTGCAGGAAATTCCTCTGTGGGAGAGAAACACTGATCCTACTGCTGTAAAACTGATCACCTGGAAAAAGTGCCAGTGCAGAACAACAGCCTGCATGCTTTAAAGGGTTTTTCTTCCCGAGGAATTTATTATGTTATTTTTATACCTCCTTGCTGATAGGCTAAAAATCTCCTCAAAGGAGTCAGGAACAGTCACCACTGTACCTCATTTAACAGCAAAAATACACTGGAAAATACAGAATTGTGCAGCCCTCATGCTTTTTATTCAGAACTGACTTGATAACTTTTCCAGAAACATAAAAGTCTTGGAGTTAGATATCAGCATTCCAGGTAATCTCAACAGACCAGCAGAAAGCCACAGCGGGGAGACTGGGAGCAAGGCTCTATCCTGACAACAAATATTTCAGCAGTTAAAATTCCTGACACTCCTACAAGAGGAGAATATGTACCCAACAGTCATTTGCTATCATCTATCCCAGCAGCACAACTGCTGGCTGCAATACTTAAGGGTGAATTGCAATTGTGTAATTGCACTTTGATGCTTTGCCTTGTGCCTATGTGGCCACAAAGTCAGTCTCTGGAAAGCAGTTAATGCATCAGAACTATTCCCACCTGTATGTTGCCAAGAGTTAAAACAGGATCTCAAACATGTTTCAGTGTAGGCAGGACAGTGTAAAAACAAAGAAAGCACAGAGCAGCCATAGCTACAGCTCAGCTCGGGAGCAGGAGTGCCTCATTTAAAGGGCAACAAACCCAAGTTTGTATCCAGTCCTGCAGGAATCCCATAGCCATCTGCACAATTACATCCTTGCTTGTTCTCAACTGCCACGGAAATCTAGATCCCACCCAATTCCAGAGAGAAGATTGCAAGAATCCTCATAAACTGGCCACTTGGAATAATGCATTCTTTACTTTCCCAGCTACCTTTTAGGTTCATTACTTGAGGAATGCTTCACTCCCAACTTCAAACTCATTAACAGGAACAGTTAACATGATTGAAAAGGTATTTACCCAAGATGAGTCCAACCATAGAACTCAGGTAACCAGTGCCACTGCCAAGATTCAGAAAAGACAGCCCTGGTTGCAGATCCAAAGCTTCCATCACCTCAGAGTAAATGCACGGTGCTGAGAGATGGATATTTCCATGCTTCCATGCCAAGTCCTTGTAGGCATTTTCTTTGAACTCTTCCAGGTAGTAATCTGCTCGATCAATGGCTCGGAATGCCTGTTCCACCAGTTCTGTCCTGATGTATTGTGCCTCCTTCAGGTTATCAATTAATTCATCATTATCTTCTCCTGCACTCACTGCACCTCCCATATTCAAGGGCACTAAAACTAAAAGAGTAATAAAGAAAGGTGAGTTATAAAACATGCACTTCCACACTGAATCATGCTGCTGTATATGAAGTACTTTGAGACACCTTTGGGCACTCTAAAGACCACAAGCACAAGAAAAACATCACCTCAGTCAAGCAATGAAACCAAAATGCAGCAGATCTGGCATCTGGTACCTGATACTAGTGGGCAAAATCACAGTAGACAAATGTGCTCTGCCTGTCTTCAAACACTACCAACATTTTACTAGCACATCAGCTTTTCTGCTGAACCTTTCATACAAAGGATTATTCTGGCTCCTATGCTTTGAGGTCATTTTCCATTGCAAATCCAAGCCACAGCAACAAGTTTGGTTTGCATGTTGGAATCCTTGCCACATGTAGGCTTTCTATCTCTAATAGTAACAAGGGGAAATTAAGAGAATAAGAAGCAGAAAGAACCAGAGAACTCTCAAGCAGCATTTCCTTGAATATGCCTCAGGGTGCTGATTTCACTGATGTTAAAAACCCTCTGACCTAGAGCACAGCCTTGCTTACTTTAGCAAATGCACTTTCACACAACTCATCCTTATAGCCTGAGCCACCATCATTAATAAAGCACTTAACAACACAGCAACTGCAGAGAGAATTCCCACTGAAGCCTGTGGAACTTCTGAGGTCCTCTTAAGGCCTTAGAGGAGGTAACTCCCCATTTGGAAACTCTTCAGTGACACAGATGTATGAATTACAAACACTTCCTTCTGACTTCACCAATGCGATCATCCCCAGCAACATATCCAGGCTTGTTGCTGTGGGGCAGAGAGAAGCAGGCACCTCCCCTGATTGTGCATCACTCTAAGCATGCTTATATGCTTCTTGCAGTAAAGTATCTACAGGTTTTAAAGGAAAAGGTACAAGGGAGAAGAATGCAGAACTTGCTCGCCACTCAAAATTAATCTCTCTCTTCTTCCCTTCCCGTATCTTAAACATAAAACCCTTTCAGAATAAACAACATGATTTTTGCTAAGCATTTATTTACTCCGCCTTTCTCTGCTCACAATAACAACCCCAGAAACAGCAGCTTTCGAGTTCATTCCTGGGATCAGAAGATCTGCCTACGGCTAAATTGTTGGGTTGATTTGTTACATTCAGCAAGAGCAAATTATACACTTTAATTTGCACAGGAAACAAGGAAAAGCTACAGGAGTCTAAGGAAATTTCACAGTTCTCTCTATATATTTCACAGTATGATAACACAGTTATTGTATATAACACACCATCCTGATTACCAGTAGGGACACAGAAACAAGGATATACTTCGGCAGGGAACTCAAGCCAGTTTTTTAACACATTCATGTCTCAAGCACACCAATCCACTTCCACACCATTAATAAAACTTAAAAGAAATTGCTACCCCTCTCCTTCCTATAGTTACTCCTTCATTTTCTCTACAAAAAATGACTGTATTTATTACTTCACAGTGGAAATGCATCAAAAGTTGAAGGCTTAGGCGGGTTCACCAGCCAATTTGAATTCTTTCTCTTTTTTCCCTCCTCTTCCATACACAACTCTTCACACCTGCACACATAAGACTGCTCATCTCTTTGGGCAGTCTGTTTACTATAACATTCTGCACTGAAACCTTCTGTTCCCTCAGGGTGTTGATCCCTTGACCTTCCTTTGTCTATTTGTTCTCAGGCTTACTTCTTTCTTCCACTGATGCTCTTTTCGCTGTTAAAAACCTACACTTTTAGCTATAAAGTATAAACAAGAAGTTGTGTCTCTAACAGGGTTCCACTTGAGATCCCCAACAAACTTTCTGCTGTACAAAAGCCCCACTGGAACAACTGGTCCAACCTGGTTTTGGCTCAGCTTTATGATCAACAACTTTTCTTCCATTTTCTACAACATGGAAGGTATGTTTCTAATGAGACCAAGACGTATCCAAGTTGTGCCAAGTGTCAGCTTCTTTGGAAACACTTACTCAACAGTAGCTTACATCCAACAAAACGCATGTTTTAGATGCGGGATATAGTACTCTGATGGTTAAATTCCTCCTTGGATAACTCCTCATCTTTGTTTAACCTTCACTTCTCCCACTGGAAGCTGAAATAAATGAGTAAGACTTACTTTTGACAAGCTTTTTAAAACCAGATGCTCTCCTTCCACAATCAGCCCTGTTGCGCTTTTCGCGCTTCTAAGCAAAGCGCCGTCACGTATATGAGCAGGGACCAAGGTGATCCTTCACTGGGCACAACGCAGGGGGCAAACCAAGCAGCCCCTCAGTGCTGAAGCATCCCTTTAATTGCACGTTACCATCTTCCCCTTTAAGACAAACAAAGCAGAGAACCAAACAAGTCCGACATGAGAAGCTGCATTCAGGCTCTGAAACAAAACACTTGAAATTAACCCGATTTCTTGCAGTGCAAACACCAGCAGATGCACAGGGGAACACTCAGAACAATACACAAGGCACAAACATGCAATTCTTCGCCCCAACAGCTTTGCAGGGTAATCCCTGCTCTGACATAACACGCTCCAGAAGGAATAACAAAAGTGAGGCTATTTACCCCTTAAAACACAAAGTTACAGCGGGCACAGGTTCCAATCCGATCCCTTCTAACCCTCTCAGACAACGCATTAAAAAGCCCCACGCCGCTAAGCTCAATCACTGCAGGAGTTATCACAAGAAAAGCGATAGAGAGATGGGAATGAAGCGAAGGAAAGCCTGACGCTGCTACCCCCGCCCCGGTTTAACTACACCCGGGTGCCCCAGCTCTCCGCATTGCCCCAGGCAGCGACCGGCAGCTTAACGGGGAGAGGGTGAGGCCCCCAAAAGGACCATGAAGGAGAGCGGACCCCACTGCCGGAGGAAGACGGGGGCAGCGGCCTGAGGAGGCGGCCGGGGTGAACGGGGTGCGGAAGGGGGGGGGAGTACTGCAGCGGCCCGGTGAGGTCGGGTCGAGCCGGGACCATCCCCACGGCAGCGGACAGGGTCTCCTTGCCCGGCGGACGTACCTGAGCGGCGGCTCGGCTCGGCGCAGCCCAGTGCGACCCGCTCCGCTCCAGGATGCGGCCCCGCTCCCAGCACCGCAGCGCTGTAAACAGAGCCCAGCTGAGCGCCGGCCGCCGCATCACGCATGCGCAGCACGTACCACTACTGCGGGATGGGGGGGGGGGGGGGGGGGGGGGGCCTGGAGCGTACCATTGCTGCCGGCGCTGTACCACGCAGACCCGGCGCGGGGGGGGGGGAGGACTGTACCACTAAAAGAAGGAGAGGGGACGGCAGGGTTTGGCCTGTTACTGGGGCCGGCACAGGGGGAGCTCGGGGTACCCTGGGGCTGAAGTCAGTGTATGGGGTCTGCTCACAGAGGGGTCTGTGTATAGGGCCTACAGACAGTGCTGCAGAGCAGGTCTTAAAGCAAACCACAGCACTCAACGTGCTGGGCCTGTGGGGTAGAGCAAAATACAGCCCGGCTCCAGTATAAACTGGGGCTAAATACAGCCTAGGTCAGCAGGCTGGGCTTAAATATGGACCAGAGCTACAGACTGGGGCTAAATACAGCCTAGGTCAGCAGGCTGGGCTTAAATATGGACCAGAGCTACAGACTGGGGCTAAATACAGCCTAGGTCAGCAGGCTGGGCTTAAATATGGACCAGAGCTACAGACTGGGGCTAAATACAGCCTAGGTCAGCAGGCTGCGCTTTAATATGGACCACAGCTACAGAATAGGGCTAAATACAGCCTAGGTCAGCAGGCTGGGCTTAGATATGGACCAGAGCTACAGACTGGGGCTAAATGCAGATGGAGCCAACAGATCAGGCTCTAAACACAAGCTGGGCTCTTCTCTAGATCAGTGTGACATAGCTGAAGATGCCCCTGCTCATTGCAGGTCCCTTCCAACCCAAGCTGTTCCATGATGCAGTTACCCTTGTGCAGCAACTTTTACCCCTTAATGTGTTATCCCAGAGGTGCTGCCGCCGTTGCTGATGGGCTCAGTGTTGGATCCATCTTGAGCTGCTGGTATTGGCTTCATAGGACATGGGGGGACCTTCTAGAAGCTTCTCACAGAAGCCACCCCTTTAGCTTCTGCCATGCAACCCTGATACAAGAGACCACGACGAAATAGAGACCAAGACTCTCTTCTTCCCTCATCGGTCCCATTGCACAGCTCCTGGGATCATCTCCCCATCCCAGTGCGGATGTTTCCCCCCAGCCTTGTATCCCCCACCCTGCCCTAATTCCCAGTTCCCAACACAGGGCTGCATTTCCACACCTCCCTTTCCAGCTCAGCACCCAGTTCTCCCAGTCCTCACCCCCTTCAGGACACCTCCACAGCAGCCCCTGCTATGACAGGATTGGGGGCATTGGGTGGGTGGGATGAAGGCTTCCCAGGGTATGGAAGCGGATGCATGGAGCAGCCCAGCAGTGGGAGCTGGGAAGATGCCAGTCTCCAGCTGGCACACGCAGCCCTAACGCTGTAGCTGAACCTCCTGTGTGAAGCGTGGCCAGCACCAGATGTTCTGACAGCATGAGTCAGGCTTGGAGGGGGGGGGAACCATAGGAACATAGGGAAAACCCATTACTCTGGGAGCTGATTGCTGTTCCTCATCCTGAGCCCGTGAGCGCCCAACCTGAGTCACGTGCTGGGCTTTTATTGTTTTAGTTCTGCAACCAGAAATGCCAGTTGTGAGTTCCCCTTGAGGGAAATACGTGAGCTGCGTGTTCACCTGACTGCAGGGGCTGGAAGGAAGCATGGAGTATTGGGAGACTGACCAATAGCTGGCTTACCCTTTGTGCAGTGGAGGGATCCCTGGCCTCTAACCTGATCTGGCTGAGAGTTAGGCACCTAATTTAGGTTTTACCCACCTGTTTTGGCTTCTTGGTTGTAACCGACAGAGAATTGTATCAGGTTGGAAGGGACCTCAAGTATCATCTTGTCTAGACAAGGTCCCGACACCCTGTCTGGCTGAATCTTTGAAGTATCCGATGGCAGGGAATCAGGGACATTGGGAAAAGGTGGCTCCTGTCACCTATCTCAGACTGAGGGGAATTACCTTCTAAAAGTACACTTCTCTCTTCATCTGTAAGTGATGCACAGAGCATTGGCTGAGGCTGAGTGATCTGTGTGACCCCTGCAGCTGCAGATGGAGCAAGAGGGTCTGAGCTGGCCTTAGACCTAGGACTTGCTTCTATAAAATGGGAAGGAGCAACCACATTTTGACAGGAGGCTTCTTGATTTAACTTGTCTGGAGGTGAATTGTGAGAGAAGGAAATAGCTGTTCCCTCCAGACACAACAAGCCCACAGTGGAAAAAATAACTACCCTGGTAAATGAGACTGGGAGAGGAGAAAGTGAATCAGCAGCAGAGATTTATTGATGCTTTAAGTGATTATCTCAGCTCCCTTCATTAAAGCGGTAACAGCAGACTCTGCAAATGGGCACGGGTAATAGTGTGGAGGTCTGCACTTGGAGAGCGCACAAGACAGCTGCCAGGGAGAATGGGATTGTTGGTGGGGAGTGAGCCCTGGAACTCCTCCTTGCTGATTCAACCAAACCAGGACGCGGTGATTGCGCTCGCCTCGTCTTGTTTAATACGGAAGGCACTCAGGCGCGATGGCAATGAAAACGCAGGACAGACAGAGTCCTCACACGTGTGATTCCAAGGCTGCCATTCAGCATCTGCTCCCCTTGCTGCTGGAGCGGCTGGAAAAATAGCGCTTGGTTTATTTTTAGCATTAAAATGGTTAAAATGAAACAAAAGCTGCCCAAAAAGTGGCCCATTATTGCTAGAGCAGCTGTGCTGCAGGCAGAGCTGGCTGCAGCAGAGGGGGGCACCGCTTGTGCCTCCCTGCAGGCTGCTCCTAAGGCAGAGGGGAAGATGGGGAGGCAGCAGCTGCTCTTGCAGCCAGTCCTTGAGAAGGCCAGGGGGGAGTGGTTTAGGGATTCCTGAATACCTTGAGTACCAAGTTGTGCTCAGGATTCCTTGGATTTCAGTGGCAGGGGCCATGAGGCAGCCTCTCCATCTCTCGATGGAGAACTGCAGGAATGAGCTGAGAGACACACACAGGGAAAACACTTGCCCGCTACAAATCCCCATCTCCTTGCCTGCACCCCAAACATATCTGGGGGCACAGGCATGGGAAAGGGATAGCTGGAGGGAGATTGTCTCCCCCAAGGGACAGGTTGTTCTCTGCACCTCTAACTCGTTACACATCTCTGGAGTGCACGGCCCAAATGTGTGCTAACAGAACAGTGCAGCCAGGCTGTGCTTTGGGTGCTGCTCCCCCAGCTTCCCACTGGCACCCAATGGCTCTGCTCCCCTCAAAGCTTTTTCCCCTTTGGTTTCTTTGAAAACATGGTTAGTGCTGAAAACACCTCCCTGCACGTCACAGCACCCGGGTCCAGTGATGGAGGAAACCAAAAGATGCCTGATAATGTCACAAAAATACTCTTAGTTAATAAAACAGAATGGTTGGGTGCTTCCTGGGTTTGTGATTGCTGGTTCTTTGAGCTACTTCTATCCCTGCGCTTTAAAAAGACCTTCCTTTCATCCTTACATCTCACCTGGGGCTTTGTTATGCATGAGCAGTAGATTAGGAACAGTCAGCAATAGATGAGGAACTCCTCCATCTGCCTTGTCTGCAAATGTGTGTGGCTTGAGGAGCCTCAGCAGCCTCTGAGAGAGGAAACAGCAGAGCAGGGTTGGGAAGCAGGGCCTGGCAACACCGGATAAATCCCAGCATTATTCTGTTTCTCATCCACATACCACAAGGTGTCTCCAGCAGTACAGGCATTGCTGCTGGGTTGGAGAGTGCAACTCAGCATCTTCTCCTGGGCAGGGACCCTCACTGGAGCAGTGCAACCTTGGCCCTACTCTGAGCAACCTCCAGCTCTTGTCTTACCAGTGCGAATTAAGTCTCCATCCTTCCTTAACAGAGATACTTAATTGCTGAGAGCAAGCTGTGATTTTTCTTGCTTTTCCTTTATTTCCCTCTTTTCCCAGTTTCCTCCTTTTATTAAACCCAATTTCTTTTATACATCATTTGAAAACACCCGTTGACATGACCAAACTTCCAAAGTTTGTCTTAGTGACAGTCGTTTAAAATGGGGTGGTTTTATTTATTTAAAAGAGCAGAGAATGAAAAGGCATTTTAGCACCAAGTCAGGGCCCAGCAGCCTAAGCTTGACCTGCAGCTGTGTGATAGAGGGTTGCTTAAGTCAACGGAGTAATTTGTGAGTGACAGGATGAGTCACATAAATCACGACCTGGGGGAGCTTTAAATCAGATGGTTCTATTTTCACCATTTTCTTTTCATTTTAGTATTTTCCAACATATGCTCTATTGCGTTTCCTGAAGAGTTCCAGAAACATATACTATATATGTGTACACACACCTATGCATATATGCATCATAGAATCATAGATTCAATGTAAATACACTCAGACATAATGCATTTCCACTGGTATTACTAGATTTATAGTTGACTGTTGAAGTCTATGAAGTACTGAAATAGAAAACCAGTTTGTGATCAATATGTGAGAACACTGAAAAGTAAAGCTCATTGGTGCATGAACTGCTCCTAGTTTTAGTCTTAAAGAAAAAATAAGATGTTCAAATTATAGATAAATCCCCTCATTTGTGTTATACAGATGAAATGTATATATTAATGTATAATATATAATAATATAAATGATATTTCAGCTATATATTTAGTGAAATAAATACATTTCATACCTTTCTTTGGTTTTCTGTTTCAGACTGTGCAAGCTCCTGTGTTTGGTGTTGAAAGGCTGTTTTGTGTACCTAAGCTCTGCAAATCTGATTTTGAGTTTCAACATGACAGCAAATCACTTGAGATCCTCCTGCCCATGCACAGGATATAGATGTATGTGTGTGTGTCCTAAAGCTCCTCTTGCCTCACTTCATCAGAGGGCTCTGTGAGTAACTGCTGAAGCAAGAGGAAGAACATATGTCTTGATTTCCACTGTATTGCACTGTGCATAACCACTGCCACTTGGAGAAGGGACTTGTAAAGACCTGGATTCATCTCCCTTAACTGCAGTGTCAGAGGAAAGTAGCCAGGAGACTGCTAAGCCTGAGAATGAGAGAAAGCATCACCGGAGGTCCCTGCTGC